TGTCCACTTCTCCCCATAGCTTTGTGTCATCTGCAAAGTTGGACAGAGTACATTTCACTCCCTCGTCCAAGTCGCTGATGAAGACATTGAAGAGTATCGGTCCAAGGACCGAGCCCTGCGGGACCCCACTGCCCACACCCTTCCAGGTCGAAACCGACCCATCCACCACGACTCTCTGGGTGCGACCCTCCAGCCAATTCGCCACCCACCGGACTGTGTAGTCATCCAAGTCACAGCCTCTTAACTTGTTCACCAGTATGGGGTGGGATACTGTATCGAAGGCCTTCCTGAAGTCTAAGTATACGACATCCACCCCTCCTCCTGTGTCCAGGCGTTTCGTAACCTGGTCATAAAAAGAGACTAGAGTTAAACAGACAAAGGATGAGTTGCAGTAGGGGCTGCATGTTGCTTTCCCATGTCCACTGCCAGCCTAATGCACCTTAACCCTGAATTTGAACAGCCACTGCTCTGGTCATGTCCTTACTGTTGGGAAGATATTATTTAATTCATGTTAGCTGCTGGTTGACCACCAGCCTTTTCTCTAGGGAAGATGAAGGCTTGGAGGAGGAGCCGCTTAAGCCTTTGTCAGTCTGCCTCTGCTGAGACCACGTCCATGAGATGTTGTACACAGCTGCCTGTTCACTAGGAACTGGCCTGTCACCTTGCTTTAAAACTGTCGGCACCATCTCACAGTTAAAACTTTTGATCTGCACGTGAACCGGTAATCTACAGATGCCATAAACACTCAAGAGACTCAGTCTCCTCCTCCCCCCCCACTTCCTTGAAATGCTGACACAAAACATCACTAAGATGTAGAATCTTTTTAACTTTCTAGAGGCAAGCCCTGGAAGAGCTTCTCTGTCTGTGTGGTCAGATGGGAAAAGTTCTGTACATTCTCCACAGGTTCTGGGCAGGCCGGGCTTCAGCATCGCTGACAAGAAACGCAAAACTGGCAGCATCGGGGCTAAGCACAGAATCGGGAAGGAGGAGGCCATGCGTTGGTTCCAGCAGAAGGTAATTTCCAATCCGATGCTTGTCTATTTGGGAGCCCCATGAGACCGCCAGTCAGCACAGTGACATCTCAGCCTTGCTTATCCAGCTTGTAATGTAGCAAAGTCTGCTGGCATACTGAGCTGCAGTGTGAGCACCTCAGCATGTGTAGGGACCTTGAGGGCAAAAACACTTGCTACTCTGGTTTCCCAGTCTTGTGGTAAAATCCCAAGGCCCACACAATCTAGCTGCTTAAGTACCTGAAAAATGGTCTTCCCCTATAACAGAGGGATTGTGGTCCTTGATGCAGGTTTAGCTGTAGTCTGGTGTTTTATGTGAGCTAATAGTATTCTTTAGTAGCATTTCTGTTGTGCCAGAATGTCTCCTTGCCTACTTTCTGAAGTTTCCAGTGTGCTGGGGCTAGTAACAGAATGCCTGACCCCTGGGGTAGGAAACAGTCCCTGATAGCATCCCTTTGCATCCAGCTAGGAAAGCTGATGACAGGCCAGGTGAGAGGGTTGCAGTAGATCAGGCCCATTATGCAGATTTTTGTGAGCAGCTGCTTCCATCTTGCATCATCAGATCAGTAAGGAAAGAAGTAATAAATGGAAATGGTCAATGAGGAGGTGCATAGAACAGCAAACTGTCTGTCCTGCTAGCTGACCTGTCTTCTCTTTAACTTCGTAAAGCAGTTGAACAAAATGGGGTGGGTAGAATGTCAGGCATCAGCTTTTTATTGGTATTTTTCTGGTTAGACCTGACCCTGTAGCTTCATGTACAATCTATGTGCAGGTTGGCTGACCTGGAATGACCATTCCTTGGTTCTGAATTATGTCTTGCTTTCTGGTTCCAGGAACCAAATAAGAATTTGTGGTTTAAAAATGATCTGCAAAATGGATATGCTGGGGGTGGGGGAAGAGGGGCCTGGCTTGTTCTTGTCTAAAGCTTGATGTGTGCTGCCTTCTTACCAGATCAGGATTGGATCTCCCAGAGTTAGAACAGCTGTTGGGCTTGACTTTCTTAGTGGAGCAGTGGAGTAGGAGGAATCTCTAATCACGGTCTAAAATACTACGGCTTGCTTGTTTGTCAGGAGTTGAGCTGAGTAACATTTGGGCAAAGCTAGTCTAAATGTTGTTCTTTCTCCGTCTGTGGAGGTGTGACCCCACACCATTTTTCTCCCACTTCATGACTTCCTAAGTGCAACAGACATCTAGTGTAAAGCAGTTGGGAGGCCTCTCTTGAAATCTCTTGATGGTTTTTATCCATCCTAAAGAAGCCAAAGGCACTTGGATGTAACTGCCCTTTTGCAGGGCACCTTTAACTCTACCATACGTGTGCAAATCTGCTCCAGCAGACTTGCTTGCTCTATGCTCTGGCCTGAAGCAGAAAGAAGTGGCTTCCAAGTCTTTATCGTGCCCTTGGCTTTCCCTAGTCCTTGTTCTCATAATCCCTTTTCTCTCTCTTGCAGTATGATGGCATCATCCTTCCTGGCAAATGAGCAGTTCCTGTTACCAGAAAGACCCAATAAAATTTTCTAACTGTAACTTTTTCTGTTGGGGATTTTGTGGTTGGTGTCTCCTCCCCACACCAAGTCTGCGAGTGCCGGTGCTGCAGAGATGACTCGGTGTTGTGCGCTGGAAATGGGAGTTGGTGTCCGTAAAGAGCAGATGTTGGGACCCTGGTATAAATGCAACCTCCTCTGCTGGCCAGCCGAGAATGATTGGTGACACTTACAGCTAGGTCTGTGGATGCGAGAGGGGCAACCAGAAAGCTTAGCAACAGAATTGAAGCAACGTTTCTTGAAGCATTTAGGGTCTTGGCTGTAGTCCCAAGTAGGGACAAACTGAAACTCCACCTACATACTCCAATTTGCAGAGCTCCCATGGTGTATGGTGCAGCCAGGTAGGCAGATGTTAGTGTTGTTTAAGAAAGCAAGAGGGATTCCACACCTACAGATGAAGTACTAGGTGGCTTCTTGACTCATGGATTGAAATGTCACACTGGGGGCAAAACACAGTGGAGATCAAATTCAACTGTGTGGGTTTGCATCTATTCAAGACTTGGTGATACCAACACAAGTAACTAATATAGTGTGTGGCTGAGGCCTGGTGCTGGTGAGTCCCAGCCGTTAGCTTATGTCCACTGCCTGTTCTGCTAGTGACCTAACCCTAACATGGGCTCCAAGGCCCACAGTGGTGACAAGAGCCTAGAACTGTTGCAGTGTGTCCCCCTCCCCAGACCTGAACTTTGGTGCTGTTGCCACTAGAGGGTACTGAAGTTGCAGGCAAAGAACTAGCCAGTGCTCACTGCAGCGAGACTAATCCAGCATGGGTTACTTTAGCTGATGTGAGGACCAGCGGCTAGAATGGTACTCGTAGTCCAGCTCTCCATACCTGTATCTGACTCGGTCCTGGCATTCAGACAGCTGTGAAAGCTCTTCCATGCTCAGGAGCAGAGAAATTGCTTTTGTTGTTGCCTTTTAAAATGTAAATGGCTTAACTTTCTCTTGGCTCTAAGCATATGGCTATGGTAGCAGGTTCCCAATGCAAGATACGGAGAAAGCAGCTCTGTGGAAATGAATATAACCAAGTAAGTTGCTCTTGCAAAGCAGTGCTAATTCTTTTATTCAATTTAACTAGATGCATAATACCCCTTGGCACCGCTCCATCATGCATGTAAGATTCAGCAGTTGCTCCGACACCAGACTGCAGCTTTTCTAGCAACCTTTCTTGACCCCAGCTTAAGAATACCTACAGTGTGGAAACTCATAGCCAAGTGGCAAATTGAACCCCTTTCTCCCAGCTGCACCACTGCACTCCAGAAGTGGGGGCTAGCACGATGGCTCAGTTCCTCCAAAGTTTAGAAGGTTCGTTCTTCCATGTACCCTGGAAAGCATGTGGTTGCTGCCAGTGCCCTGAGCCCCAGGGCTTGTGAAGATGGTTCTTTCCAAAGAAAACAGAACGGCAAGTTCCACTGAGGTAAAACACACAAAGGAAAACCAGATTTACTATTTTTCAATGAATTGTCCATCTATGGAGTTTCCATGGCCCTTGGGTGCATTTATGCTCATTAGAATGACCTCTGATTAGAGTAATACAATCTGGTAGGGGACATTGGTGCCTTGATAGCAAGTGAGGTGAAGTTTTTTTGGTGATATCTTTTGGACCCATTGTGCAGTTGGGAAAGATGCTTGACAAGCTTTCAGACATAAAGAGCCTTTGTCAAGGCACATGACTAGGGGCACCTGATGCCTGAAAGCTTGTTTAACTTCTCCCCCCATCTACATGGTTGGTTCAACAAAAAGATAGCACGAAAATCCTTGTCCCTTACATACTTCCAGGACCATCACAGCTATAGATAGCAATGCTCCACCCCTTTACTTGAATCATAACTTGCATTGAAACCTTTCACTCTCTCAGGCCCTCACGCCCTGGGAGAAAATAACGCCCAGGTAGGTTTTTCTGTGCCACGCTTCTGTCTGCTGTGCATTTCCTCTGTCACACTGGAGCAGTCCCAATGCTGCAGAGGGCTTTGTTGTGGCTTCACCCTGCCTCGGGAATAGACTTGTACATGAATGTGCCTCCTATGTGCCCCATTGTATAAGCAGGACCAAGATGTTGCGGTAGTTAACTTGGAACCACTTTCCAGTGTCCCTGTAAACAGTAACGTCTGGAATTGAAAGCTCCTAATTTCTGCCATGTGACAGACAGAGTTCAGTAACAGCCCAGGTCCGAGGATGGAGGCCAGGAAAGGAGCGGCAGTTGCAGTGCTGCATGTCATGCCTTAACTACTGGCTCCAAGTTCCACTTGAGACCTGCCATGCAATGGTACACAGTGGGAAGTTCCAGCTTGCTGCTCTTCACATTGCTCTGTGGTTCTCTGCTCTGGAGCCTTAGTGCTTCCTGCAGAATACAAGCAGGAGACCTTCAGCTTCTCTGCTTGTGGTAGGCAGTCAGCTTGTCTTCATGGGTTATTAGGTTATCACAGAACTCAGGCTGACTAGAACAAAACCGTGCCTGAGCCATCAGGGCTTGTTATGGATGGATTACATACATGTGTCTCCTTTCAGGTGGGTCCCACAGCATGTCTTCGTAATGCACATGCAATCTTAGGCCCATGCTACAAATGTTCATGTGGCCTTTTCTTCCCCTGCAGCTCTTGAACTCTCCCCATTGGAGAGCCCCTGCTTTCAAGTTGGCAATGGGATCAGTGACTGAGGCTAAATATAAGCAGTGAGCGTGAGGCTGTAGCTATCCTGTATGAAGGTCTGGAACTGGACTTCCTGGTTCAAATTATCATGGCTATTCATTCCCAGTGCAGCAAAGGAGTGTTTTATTTTCATCCTTATAAATACAGCTCTTTCTTTACTGTTTTTTAATTGCTTAGGGCTGTAGCAATTCCCTTTCACAGGTTCCCAGAGAAAGCCAGGAGGAATCGCTATGGGCCTCTTGCCTTAACTGCAGTATAACACTGACCAGAGGCCTTCCCTGGATTAAAACTTGTTTAAGCTAGAGCAGATCTTAAAGGAAAACTGACAATCTTGATTGAAAAATCACCAACAATGGTGAATCCATTGCAACTCTTCTTCCAGCTGTTAATGATCTTAGCTCTTAAAGAATGTGTCTTATTTTTAGTATGCATTTGTCTAGCTTCAAGTAATAAGGGAGAAGTGGCTATTCTAGCTCTAAGAACATAAGAAATACCAAACTGGGTCAGACCAACAGTCCATCTAAGCCGGTATCTTGTCACCGACAGTGGTAGGAGTGGAGGCTTTAAGAGGGAGAGCATGGAACAGGGGTTATCGAATGATCCATCCCCTGTTCATTACCTTCCCTGACATCTATCCTTTTTGGTTTAGAGATGTCTGAGGAAACCTCTCCAGTGTCTTCCTTGTAGCAAATGTGACCATGTATCCACTGTCACTTTTACAAACACATCACTTTTCCTATCTCTGTGACTGAATTTACTCCAATTTATTTCTATTTTTTTTAAACCCAGCTCCAGAACCAGTATCAAGTACAAACCCCCTGGAAATTAAAAAAACAAAAACAAAAAACTTTCCTGCTTGTTTCAATGCCTCATGCCCTGCTTGGTGATCTGTGGTTTCAAGCTAAGCAG